GATTCTGATACTATCTAAACATTATTTCATGAGAGAGTGGCCTGTTATAATATATTTTATTCATTTTATTTTTTGTGTTTTGTTTCCTATTTTTTATATTTTATTTATTTAACTGTTTTATTTTCTCCTTTTAAAAAATATGTTTCAGTGATGCCTAGCTGGCTCAGTCAGTGGAGCGTGCAACTCTTAGTCACAGGATTGGGAGTTCAAGACCCATGTCAGGTGTATACATTCTTTAAAAAATGTATTTCAAAACGTATCTAGGAAGAGAGCCACTTGAGAGAGGGGGAAGGCAGTAAATTGAAAACAAGCATATTATGTGCAAAACTCCTTAATTAATGATAGAATCCTTAGCACCCTTCTCCTAATCAGCTCCCAGATTACTGGTAGCCAGCATTGTACCCTTCAGGAAGGAGACTGAAGGACTCCTTTCTGGAGAACCAGACCAGACCACGAAAAGCCTAGGGACACTGATAGGGTTTCTCTGACAGTCACTGGTCACCTCAGTGAAGTCCCCCACATGAAACTTGCCATTGCATTTTACTCTTAATGCTTATTAAGTCTCATTCTTAAATATGAATGGACAGTAAAGGCCGCGAGGCCTGGAGGAAACCCTTTCGCTGGAAAAGCAGAGACTAAAACAAGCATGTAAGCCAAGAAAGGGATCAGAAGAAGCAGAGACAATGGAGAAGATGTTAAAAGGAAACACCAAAACTATTACTAATGTCCATAAAGAAGTGAAAGAAAATACTGTGCCCATGAAACAGAACAAGGAGAGGAAATCAGACAAGTGAAGCTCATAGGAATTGGACCTGTCATATCAGAAAATAGTAATTCAACAAGGATGGGACAGAAGTAATGAACTCACCAAGAAAGAAGAACAAATAGCGATCAGAAAGTATGAGAAAAGTTGAAGAAAATCAAATGATCAATCCAGAAGCTTTTTGCTTAATAGGAACTCCAGAAAGAGAAGACAGAGAAAACAGAGGAAGAAAACATAATATATGAAAATTTCCCAGAACTGAAGGACATGGGTTTTTCAGTTTTAAAGTGCCCAATGAGCACCTAATATGAGTGGAAAACCAAAACACACACACACATATCCAATAAAGCTACCACTCTCCTGATTTTTCTCCCTTTCTTACTATTGCTTGTGTGTTTCTTTGCTTAATATCTCTTCCTCGTTCCACCCTTAATGCTGTTTCTATGCTTTCTGTCCTTGACTTTGACCTTTTCTCGCTACCCTCTCCCTCCATGTATCATGACATCAAGTCCTATACCTTTAACCACCTCTCTCTGTTAGTGGTTCCCAGATGTGTGAATCTAGGTGTTTCTTTCTCTTGAACTCCAGATCTGCTTCCTGGAACTCTCCACCCTGGTACCCATCAGTCTTCCCACGTGTCTAAAAGTGAACTTATTTCCTTATCCTCTTTTTGTCTTTTTATGAGCCCAGTTATTTTCCTATATTCCCTATTACAGGAAAACATCATTCCTACAGTGTTACAAGTCAGAAATGTAGGAGTTTGAGATCACTCTGGGCCCCTCCATCTACCTCACCCCTTGCAGTCAATCATTACATCCTTTTATTTTTTATGTTTTTATTTATTTTTTAAAGATTTTATTTATTTATTTGACAGAGATAGTGAGAGAGCACAAGTAGGCAGAGCAGCAGGCAGAGGGAGAGAGAGAATCAGGCCCTCCGTGGAGCAGGGAGCCCGATGTGGGGCTCGATCCCAGGACCCTGGGATCATGACCTGAGCTGAAGGCAGATGCTTAACCGACCAAGCTACCCAGGTGCCATGTTTTTATTTTTTATTAAGTTCAATTAGCCAACATATAGTACATCTTTAGTTTTTAATGTAGTGTTCAATGATTCATTAGTTGTGTACAACACCCAGTATGTTCTTTTAGAACTTCATGGTGATAAGCCCCATGTGTCCCACATTCCCAGGCTACCCTTCTATTCTTTCATTCATATGCATGCAGGGACAAATAAGGTCATTGGCTATTTGGGGAGGAAATCTGTAGCATGAAAAAGGGGAGCAAAAATAAGCTAATAGAAAAATTAACCCTAAAGATAACATTTTAAAAACTCAAATTAGTAGCCTCACATTTAAGATGATATTGCAAATATAAATAAAATCAGACTACTATGAAAAGGGAACAGGAAACAAAAAGGAACTTTTAGATGTTAAAAATATGGCTGTAAAGGGGCTCCTGGGTGGCTCAGTTGGTTAAACGTCTGCCTTCAACTCAGGTCCTGATCCCGGGGTCCTGGGAACAAGCCCCACATCGGGCTCCCTGCTCAGCGGGGAGTCTGCTTCTCCCTCTCACTCTCCCTCTGTGCTCTCTCTCTCTAAAATAAATAAATAAAATCTTTAAAAAAAAAACACAGCTGTCAAAAAATTCTGTAGTCAGGGTTGCAAGATAAATGAGAGAAAAACTAAGAATTTAGAGAGTAAAAAGAAAAAAAGGAAAATGTGACAATAAAAGGTAAGACATTATGTCTAGTTCCAACGTTCTGCTAACAGTAATTCCAGAAAAAAAAAGAAAAGAAAGGGGAAGAAGCTATCAAAGAATAATGGAAATTTCCAGGAGCTAAAGCTACTGAGTACCATTCAAAATTAAGGTATCCTGGGTGCTGAGCATAAGGCATAGATATAAATGACACAGATATAGAAAGACAGATTATTGTGAAATTTCAGAGCACCAGTGATAAAGAGAAGGTCTTGAAAGCCTCTAAAACAAAGGAAAAGTGCAACCTATGAAGGAACATCGTCAGCATCATCAGGTGTTGGAAGAAGCAGAGCAATGTCTTTAAAGACTTGAAAAGAATTGTACACCCCATGAAACTACTGACTAAGGGTTAGAAACAAAATCAGTTCATTTCCAGACATGGAAGGACTCAGAAGGTCATGCTTTAACTAGAAATAGCTGATAGAATTTGTTCATGTTTGCCGAACATTTGCTAGTATTTTCAAAATCCTGAAAGCCCTCTTGGCTGTCCTATTATATGGAATAGAACATTTTCTTTAAATGTTTAACTATCTTTTTTGCTTTGTTACTTTTTTAAACACCAAACTGTTAGTCTGCTAATCTCTCTGCTTTTCTTCACCCTTTTTTTTTAATGTTTATTTATTCATGAGAGTCAGAGAGAGAGAGAGAGAGGCAGAGGCAGAGGGAGAAGCAGGCTCCCCGCCTAGCAGGGAGCCCAGTATGGGACTCGATCCCAGGACCCTGGGATCATGACTTAGCTGAAGGCAGACGCTTAACCATCTGAGCCACCCAGGCACCCCTCTTCACCCTTTTCTTAGATTTCCCTTGTGCCTTGTTTTAAAAATCTTGTCTCATGGTTAATAATTTCCTTCTTTATATTTTTATCTAAATTCTGTAACTTCCACAACTAATCAGATAACTTTTTATAGTACATGAAGTTGTGTAAATAACAGCCATAGAAAATAGAAGCTGTACATTTTGGGGGGGGGGGCACGTGATTTTTTTTTTCTCACTGCTAAGAAGTGCAGGTAGATGTATTATGTAAAATATTTCTTTACAATATATGGTATTTTGCTGTCATTATCCATAGTGTCTGTTAGTGTTATCTATTGCTGCATAACAAATTACCCCCAAATTTAGGGTCTTCAGACAATAATAGTCATATATTATTTCTTATGATTTCTAGGGGTGAGGAATTCAATCAGGGTGTAGTGGAGATGATGTGTCTTTGCACCACAGTGAATGGGGACTTTGATGGAAGACCCCAAGTCTGAGATCTGGAAACATCTCAAGGCTCATTCACTCACATGTCTAGCAGTTGATGCTGTCTGTAACCTAGGGACCTACGTGGAGTTGTCAACTCAGATATCCACACATGGTTTCTCCCTGTGACCTGGGCTTCCCCACAACATGGTGGCAAGGCTCCAAAGACAAGCAACCCAAGACATAAAGAGAAAGAGATTCAGAATGCCAGCAACCAAGTGGAAGCCACATAATCTTCAACAACCTAGCTTCACAAGTCACACAGTGTCATTTTCACTGCATTCTACTGATTGAGACAGTTACAAAGATTCACCCAGGTTCAAGGGAGAGGAACACAGACCCCACCTCCAAATGTAGGCATGTCATGTCGTATTGGGAGAAAAGCAGGTCAAATAGGATAAGAACTGGTGTGACTATCTTTGGAAATGCAATGTGTATCCATTATGGTACCCCTAACAGGAATTCTCTAAAAATGACTCCTTTGTCTTCCTTCCACAAGCTAATCACTTGTGGAGATATGCATTCCACTTTCTCTAATAAGGAGGTTGAGATTTACACGTTGAAAAGAAGACAAAAAACATGAGATAATGATGGAGATTTTCTTAGAAAAGGGAAATAAATTTCTTGAAAGCAAGATAATTATTAAGATGTGTCTGTTAAAGAAGCCGTTCTAATTAATAGCTTTAATGCTATTTGAAAAAATGCTCCCTAGTCAAGAAAACATTGTAATCTGAAAGACATTGTTTATGAATACTGTATTTATGGTTTGGGCATGAAAACATTTTTGTAGGTTCTTGGTTGACTCGAAATATATAAATATACCATTCTCCTTTCCCTGATATACCCCTAGAGCAGAGAGTTGATGAAGTGTAATTTTATTACGTAAATTTGGTAGCCACATTACTTAACATCTCTAAAGCGTTAGTGTCCTCATCTAAAATACAGGAAGAATACTAGTACCTGTCTCACAGAACTGGCATGAGGATTAAATGAGTTAATATATGTAAAGTGCTTGGCACACTATAAGTGCTAAAAAAAAAATGTTAGACACAGGAAGTATATAGATGTGTTAATGATATTCTGCATATATGTATATATGAAGAGTCATAGCGTAACTGAATTCATTTCCAACAAGGTATTCAAAAGATAAAGAAATATGGTTACTGAAAATAGTTGGTTAATCTCTTTCATTTAAGAAGAACATATTAGATTGCTTCTTAATCTGTAACTGTTTTTCCTAGTTTGAGAAAGAAAAACAGCATGATATTCGATCATTCTTTTTACCGAAACCTAAGAAAAGACAGTTGGTGACCTCCTGTGATGAATCAGGGATATTCCAAGAGAAAAATACCGTTGTGCCAGCAGACCCTGGAAAAAGAGCCACAAGACATATTGAGTATGAAAGCAATGTTGAACCTGAAGCTAAAAGAGTGAAGTCAGTCACCACCAATGACCACTGCAGTGCCCCAGAGGAGAAACCATCCCGGCCCAGGCAGACCTCGGCTCTAGCCCAGGCAACCAGCCCAGTCCTTCCTGGAAAGGGCTGGCAGTGTGTATTCTGCACCTATATCAATAACTCAGTGTTACCTTGTTGTGAAATGTGTGAGAATCCTCCAGGCAGAGCTGGTGAGTACATGGAGTGTGGCCCTGGAGGGGGCTGGCGGTGTTGTCTTCACATAGTCTGTGTTTTTAGAGGCAACTGCTGTTAGCACGGGTTAGTGGGACTCGACACTGACTTTAGCTTTTAAGCTAGAGTAAGAACTTTACATAGTGAAGACTGAATTTATCCCCCAGTAGAATGTGGAAAGCTCCCAGTTCTGTCAAGAATGTATATCCCTGAGCGTCTGTGACATGGCATTAATTTGGCACAAATGGACACTTCTCATTAATGCCAGCAGGATGTGAATTCAGTGGGCAGGAATAGAAGCTCTGTTGCTATGGCAGCAAATATGCCTTATAGTCATAGACCTGCTGTTTTCTTTCTCCTGTAGATAATACTTGTTTTTAAAGAAATTATAGATTATTTTTGCTTAAATAGCAAAATAATCCAGGGTAGCTTCTTTGCCTGGTAAAATATACATTGTGTCCTGTTTCTTGCATGACAAATCATAAAAATTCCTGTATAGATCGTCCTTTAAGAGCCAGTTTGGTATCTGTTTTATGAGTTTATTCTTTTCCAAAACATGCTATTTTAAAAGTAGAAATTATAAATATACCTCAGAGTATGTTTTTATAGCATGGTATTACATTTTCTGATGTTTTGTTTTTGAAATTAATACTGAGGTTGTCTTAAGAAAAAATATCATTAGTATTTCTTTTGTTTCCAGTTTTAGAGACCATTTTCATGGCAACTCAGAAGGCCAACTTGACGGTTTTTAGAAGCTGGAAGAAATCATTTTATTTTATCAGTTGTAATAATTGTTACACATCTCCTTTTCCATCATATGTGAACTCTTTAGAGAAGTGACAGTAACAGTCAGCTAAGATAAAGGCTCTGCTACTGCAGTTCCTTCCTGCCTTTCTTGTTCTCCTATGTCTTAGTTTTAATCTGAAAGAAAATGTAATCAGTAGCTGAGTCTTTCCTCTTTCAATTCTGGGTGTTCCTACAAAAATGACAAGTCTGCCATCTGGGTGGTTATATTTGTAATGTGGACACCTGTTGTCTGTGAACTAAATTGGAACCACAAGCTTATTACATATAATATCTCTCACAATTTGCATTATCTCATTCAATTTCCAACTACTCTAGACCATAAAAATAAAATATCTCATGACTACAGAATAATGCCAGTTCACATTAAGTATAAGTTGAGTGATTTAGCAATGAAAATCATAGTTTAATAGGGTTTGTAGTTCTGATTTTTCTTTGTGACACCAAGAGCAACAGCAAAAGTTTCTAGACCCCTGATTTAATAAGCAAACTCTCAAGCAACCTGAAGAAAAATAAAACTCCTTTTGTGACTATGAAAGTCTGACTAAACAGAAATACATATAAGTAACAGTGATACTACTGTGTATAAAAGGTTATAATTGTTAGATTAATATTATTGTACTTGGCATAATGATTTCCCACACTAATTTGGATATACCCTCAAAAGTACTGAAAAGCAGAATTAATTCTAATTCATCCAAAATTTTCAATCAGTGTTTGCCATACAACACTTTGAGGAAACAGAATCCAAAAAACTAAAGGAGAGGGGCGCCTGGGTGGCTCAGTCAGTTAAGCATCTGCCTTCAGCTCAGGTCATGATCCCAGGGTCCTGGGATCGAGCCCCTCATTGGGCTTCTTGCTCAGCGGGGAGCCTGTTTCCCCCTCTCCCTCTCCCTGCCACTCCCCATGCCTGTGCTTTCTCTCTCTCTCTCTCTCTCTCTCTCTCTCTCTCTGTCAAATAAATAAAATCTTAAAAAAAAAAAACTAAAGGAGCAATATTATGAAATTACAGTCCTATAAAGGTTGCTAATGCAGTCTCCAGGACATTCAGTACAATTTGGTATAGTATATACTGAACACTAATATTTGTCAATAAATAACCCTTCTCTTGTGCTTTGTTTTGTTTTTTGTTTTCTTAAGTAATCTCTATGCCCAACATGGGGCTTGAACTCATGAACCTAAGATCTAGAGTCGTATGCTTTACTGAGCCAGCCAGATACCCCTCTTGCACTTTGTTGCTAATATCCATATAGTTCATACTTGCCATCTTACAGCTCATAGGCCCACACTTCTGTCTCCCGCTTGAACTGCGGCTCGTCCATATGCCTCTGCCTCATCTGCACCTGCTCGTGTGATGGGTACCTCAAGGTGAACATGGCCCAAGGTGGAGTTCTTGATTCACCACCACCATACCTAACACCTAAATCTCTTCCCTCATCATCCCTCCATGATGCTAGAAATGCAGGCAGCATCCTTGATTCCTTTCTGTTCTCCCACACTTGATTTGTCAGGTTCTGCTGGCATAACTTCAAAGTCTATCTTGATTCTGGCCACATCTTCCTTGCTGCTACCATCCTACCAGAAGCTACCATTTTCTCTCCCAGACCTCAGTGGCCTCCCAGCTAGCCTCCCTGTGGCCCTTCAATACAAGCAACCAGAGTGAGCCTTTAAAAACTCAGATGATTCCATTCCTTTACCTAAAACCCTCAATGGCTTCTGTTTACATTTACAGTCGGGTTTGAGAATTCAGGCCCTCGGGCTGGGACTCCTAGATTCCCGAACAGCCCTCAGCTCAGATGGAACTCGACCCAGAGCTTTGCCCTGCCGACATTTGCTCCCCACTGTCCCCCGATTACAAAACCTTGTTTTATTCTCTTGTTTTATTTCTCTTTTTCTTTATTCATTGGCCTTTATTCTCTTTCTCTGATTTTTTTTGTTTCCTTGGTGATTGTCTGACATTTAGAATGGAAACTCTAGGAAGCGGGGATTTGTCTGTCTCATTCCTCACTGCCTGTCCAGCACCCCATCGTTTGCACATGGGGCATTTAGTGACTCCCAACAGGTCTTTCCAGAGAATGAACAAACATTGTTGACCGTGTTTCTTTTTATAAAACCTAGCTGTGACTTTTTTAAAAACTGACCTTAGGGGCACCTGGGTGGCTCAGTTGTTAAGCATCTGCCTTTGGCTCAAGTCATGATCCCAGGGTCCTGGGATCAAGCCCCACATCGGGCTCCCTGCTCAGCAGGAAGCCTGCTTCTCCCTGACCCTCCCCCTGCTTGTGTTCCCTCTCTCTCTGTGTCTCTGTCTGTCAAATAAATAAATAAAATCTTTTTTAAAAAAATAAATAAAACTGACCTTAGAGTAAATAATGATTTTACCTAAATTTGTGTGTAAATTGTTTGTTTGATTTTCATAATTCTACAACTAGATAGCCTCAGCTCTACCCAGGATAAAAATGAAAATGAGAAAGGTGATCCTCAGAAAGACACTTCCAAAAACGTTTGGACTAGTTCTGACTCTGAAAAACGAGTCCTTGCACCCTCAGAACCTAACCCGTTGGCTGAAAGCAAGGAAGAAATATCAGAAATCAAGAGAGAAGATGGACTCACACCCCAGCCAGGTGATGGTAAGTCTGGTTTCCACTTCCAGTGTCCAGATGCTAACCATGCACGTAGATAGATAATACTATTGATAGATTTGCTGCTACTACCCCATTCCAGGTTCCTTGCATTACCATTTTTGTATTAAACATTTGGAACCACACACTGAAATACCAGATGGCTGGAAGAGCAGAACGGTGGGCATTCAGACATGACACAGAGAGCAGAACTGACACGTAGCTCTGCCTGTGCTGCCCCCAGGCCGCTCGCCCAACCTCATCCGGGTCAGGCGCATCTACGAATGAGGGTGTGGTTTTGATATTTGGGAGGTTCTTTTGGATAAAACAGTGAGATGGACATACTATTAACAGCTACTTAACAGATCATTAATCATTTGCACATGAATTTCTTTTAAATGGCTACAACTAATTCGCCTATTTTAAATTTAGGATTTGGGTTTTTTTTTTTTTTAAGAAAACGTTTTCAAGGTACATAATTTCAAGACTATATGAATCATGACTGCACTTGGAGCCAACCATGTAGTGTTTGGATTTATTTACTCTTTGGTTGATTCCATTCATTACTTCAGGCTGTGATGGTGGGTGCTTACCAGCCCACATGTCTCACATCACTATTGTTATGGGCCGGCTGGCCAGAGTTGGTGAGTACTTTGGGGTTATTTTCTTTGTTAACCCGTTAGTGACCATAGTAACCCACAGACTGATGTTCTCATTATAACAACACGAAAACTGTTGAGATGGGACAGTTGACGTTTTCCTTCTAAATCAGTTGCTATTAAACACATATAATTCAGAGTCAGATTCATAGTTTTAAAATGAAACGTTCATTTAAGAATTTCTGAGCTCAGGGCATTCTCCTTTCTTTTTCCCTCGCCTTCCTTCCCTCTAATGCCTCAAAGTCTTCTCAAATAATGTCTTGGAATGGACCCTGTCTTAGGTGTGTTAATTTTAACGGTATTTAGGTAGACGGTGTAGTCTCAGGTGGGGCATTCCCCTCATAACTCTGGTGTCCTTCCTTCTGCTCTGCAATCCCCCAAGTGCTGAGGAAGCCCTTGTTGTAGGACAGCGTGTGGTTCACTGGACTAAACATCAGACCAAGAACAAACAACTCATGGACCATGAGTCTCTTCATCTGTGGCAGGGCAATTCTGGTTTGTTAATTGGAAATTGGTCCCTTGATGAAGGCACATGCTAGGTTTACTTACACATACTTTTCAAAAATCACTAGACCTTTAGAAATTCTATTCTGCCAGTGAAATTTGCCTTGGCCTCATCCACTCCAGACAATGCCAACTTTTCCCCCATTCCTGTCCCCTCTTCCTTTGACTCCTCAGATCACTGGACTGAGAATTCCATACAAGCGATATGTTTCACCTCTCCCCACTAACATGGATTTCCATGAAAAACAAACAGAAGGATGACAGAGGGGGCACACTATGTGAAAATGTTTATTCTATGCACATAAGCTCTTCTAGAACTGGAGTGGTATGTGCTTTGCGGGGACTGTGGTTTTGTTCTAACTGGAATTCTAAGGGTCTGGAAGGATGGCTGTGTCTTCACAAGATGCATCATCTCTAGTCTTGAGCCATTAAATTATACTTCATGAAAACAATGACAAGAGGAATATGTTCCCCAGTGTAGCTGCTAACTACCAAGAATATCAACTGATTTAGAATCAATCCTATAATGCTTTTTATCAGAGAATGACTTCTGATCTTTAAACATTAATACATTAACTATGGTTCTTCAAAAAATCTGAAGACACAGTGATTATAGGATGCACTTATTTTATGTACATTAAAAAAGAAAGAAACTCTAAAAATTAAGCTGTATCTTAATACCTGAGTGAGAGTCCAGACCAGGTCAAACCACCCTCTGTTGCTTTGATATGTCTTTCATTTGTCCTGAGGGATTCGGCAGTCCTTCTGCCTCCATTGCTGTGCTTGGCATGTACTAGGGCAACCCTTCTGCACATCTCAGGATCCAGATGTGAGAGAGCTTTCTCTCTCTGCAGGGATCTCCTTTCCTTAGGTTCCATGAAGCACTTAGTTATTCCTTTGCAAGAATATAAAAAAATTTTGGTTCTTCCTCCAACGATACATATTTACTTCTTTAATATCAAATTTATGCTCTCCCGCCTTATATGCAAAAATTTTTGGTGCGCATAACTTTTCATTTCAATACCAAATCATAGTGGAACATTTTGAAGACATTGTAGAGGTAATTAAACTGAACTCATGTAGTAACAGACAATGCATTTGACTCAAGTGTGGTGTTGAAGTAACAATAGTATTGTAGTTATGACTAAGCTCACACGTGCTCGGGCAGTGACAACCACTTCGCACCTGCCACCGGGCCAGCAATGATTGTAAAACGGCACAGTTACTGGCTGTACAACATGCCAATCTCAGAGATGTTAAAGTGTGGAAAAAGCTGACATTTTTGAATTTATGAAATATGGGAATACTCCCAAGTTTGTAAAATGACCAGTGGCTTGATTTAAAAAAATTAAATATGATGACATTGCCAAGTAGAATGACAAATCATAGACTTCTAGATCTGGGGAAGCACTTTAAAAGGTCACCGAGGAAAAAATAAAATAAGAATAAATTAATAATGATGATGATGAAAATCGTTCAGAAACTGTGGCAGAGGTTAAGGGCATAGGCTCTGTAGCCACATTACTGGTCTTAAGTCCTCTTACTGGTGGTGTGACCTTGGGCAAGTTAATGTGCCTCAGTTTTCTCCTCTGTAAAATGCACTACTTATTTCTGAGATGTTAATATATGTACTGAGAACAGTGCCTGGCACATTGTAAGTACTTGATAAGTGTTAACCATAATTATTATTTAGATCCACTGTGATAACCCTATCTCTCCTATATATATATATTGGTCAGTGAAACTGAGAAGTGGTAAATAAGAGAAGATAATCAGAAAAAAAGCTTGTCCACATATCCCCTTTTTCTGAATGTGAAGTACTGGATCATAGGGAGTCTGGCATTTAAGTGGTCTTTTACAGAGCTGGATTGCTGCTGGCAACCAAAATGGTGCTCCTTCAGTCCCAGCTTAAAACCACTCTGGGAGAAGTCCAGATTCTAGACTCCTTTAAGACCAGTAAAACTCTCGGTGGAGGAAATTCTCTCTCATATCTAACGCATGTCTTTTCAGCTAATTCTGAATTTGTTTCTCTCTTATGGGGTCATTAGCAAAAGTGCAAAGCAACTGGTTTCCATATAAGCCAGTGTGGTCTTAGATGGCCTACCATCGTAGTTTTATTTCAAGTACAGACACATGTTCTTTGTCAAATATGTTGATATATTTTATATAGCTCTTTCATCATTCTAACCCATAGAAGATTAAAATAAGCTGTTTTGGTTAGAGGAGAGGTAAGCCTTAAGGTTCTTTTTTATCTTCTTAACTAGAACAGTTGAAGAGTTCAGACAACTTGCCAGTGTATGATACCTTAATGTTCTGTGCAAGTAAGAATACTGACCGGATTCACCTCTATACTAAGGTAAGCATCATGCAGATTCTGTAGCTTGAAACATACAAAAGGCTTCCTTTTTTTCATGCTCAGTGGAGATATTTAATTTTATTAACAATGATATAGGTATCTGTTTCTTTTTCTCTTTAAAGCTAATTCTAAAATTCTTTTGTTAAATCTAAAGACAATGAGAAGCAAAACAGCATAGTAGTTAAGAGCACAGACTTCAGGGCCAAACTGCTTCAATTCATATCTGTTACTGAGCGTGGAATCTTAAACATATTACTTAACTGCTTTGTGCCTCGGTTTCCTCAACTGGAAAACGTGGAGAGGAGTTGTTGCAAGGGTAACATGAGCCAATTCCTGTAAATCACTTAGCACTGTGCCTAGCCGTAAGGAACTCTCAGTAAGAGCTCCTAGATGTGGTATACACACACACCCCACATCTACACAATGGCATATTACGCGGCCATAAAGAACGAGATCCTGCCATTTGCAACAACATGGATGGACATAGAGGGTATGATGCTAAGTGAAATAAGTGAGACAGAGAAAGACAAGTACCACATGATTTCACTTATGTGTGGAATCTAAAAAAACAAAACAAATGAACAAACAAAGCAGAAAAAGACCCATAAATCAGAGAACAAACTAGTGGTTGCCAGAGGGGACAGGGTGGGGGCATGGGCAAAATGGGGGAAGGGGAGTGGAAGTTACAGGCTTCCAGTTATGGAGGGAGTAAGTCACAGGGATGAAAGGTACAGCGCAGAGAATACAGTGAATGATATTGTGATAGTGTTGTGTGGTGACAGATGGCAGCTACACTGGTGTGAGCACAGCATAACTTATAGACTTGTCAAATCACCATGTTGTACACCTGAAACTTACGTAACGTCATGTCAACTGTACTTGGAAAAAAAGTTAGCTCCTTCACAGATCCTTTGTAGCAGCCTCAGCACCTTTGCCGAAGCCTGACCCTGCCCATCCATGTCGAATAAAGTCTAGGAAGCTTTAAAAATATGATTGCTTGGATTCATGCCATAGCCTAGGTTAGTGGTGCTCAAACTTTTTAGTCTCAGGAGCTCTTTGTACTTTTATAATTTGCTGAGAACCCCAAGGAGCTTTTGGTCAGGTGGGTTATATCTGTTGATATTTACTCTATTTGAAATTAAGCTGGAAACACTTAAAAGTATTTATTAACTAAAGATAGTAATAACCCATTGTTGATATTCATGTCAACAGCTTATTTTTATGAAACATGTTTTATAAAACAAAGATAACATTTAGTGAAGAGAGTTGGCATTGTTCTACATTGTTTTTAGGATTTTTTTTTTTAATTATTTATTCTAGAGAGACACAGAGAGAGCGGGGGGCAGGGGGAGTAGCAGAGGGGAGGGACAAGCAGGCGCCACGTTCAGCAGGAGCTTGACGAAGGCTGGACCCCAGGACCCTGAGACCATGGCCTGAGCCGAAATCAAGAGTCGGACGCTTAACTGACTGAGCCCCCCAGGCACCCCTTCATCGTTTTATATTTTTACCCGTTTCTCTAGAGTCTTAATGAAGACCTTGGGATTCTCGTACCGGTCTGTCCCTGGGAAACATCACTGTGCATTTGTGAGAGGATGAGATGAAAAAGGCAAATGTTGTTTTCCTGTTATTAAGAAAACACTCTTGCCTTTGTGGAGCCCCTAAAGTGGCCTCAGGGGCCTGTAAGAATCTTTGGCCTAGGTAAACTCGTGTGAGTATTTGAGGAAAAACTTGTTGAGACGATGAATACTTTGGTCTACAGTATCAAATTCCTAGTCTTTATAAGGAAAATAAAATATTTGTAACTTCTTATATTCATGAGAGCCTACTGAAAGAATGCCTTTTTTTTTTTTAAAGATTTTATTTATTTATTTGAGAGAGAGAGAATGAGAGACAGCACAAGAGGGAAGAGGGTCAGAGGGACTCGATCCCGGGACTCCAGGATCATGACCTGAGCCGAAGGCAGTCGCTCAACCAACTGAGCCACCCAGGCGCCCGAAAGAATGCCTTTTTCAAGATAACTTAGGTTACAGGTTTTACACTAAACCAAATAGAAATATAGATAGATGGCAGGCCGTGTAATAATCTCCAGTGCCAACTAATAATTAGAAGGGATTGCTAGCAGATTAGGAGATGACTAGGATCGTGAATGCCAGGAGCCCCACACTGCTTCTGTCGTGGGACCACAGCCAAGAGAGGGACACCGGGAACGAAGCCAGGCAGTGAACAATGCTTCTCTTTAAGGCTTGGACCTCCGCCCACCATGTGGAAGCTCTGGGTGTGGAGGGAGCACCAAGGCCGCCTCAGCTCACGTAGAGGCAGGTCTGAGTGCCTGAGCACCCTCATCTGCAGTGTGGGGAGAGCTCCAGGCCATGGTTCCCAGACCACCAGGTGAGAATAATAGAGAACTGGTCCCCAGAGGAGATTGAAGTTCAAGAACCCAAAAGGCAGACACCAGGCAGAGCACAACACAGAATTCAGAAGCCCTTAAACTCCTTAGACTTTTTATTCTGTACAGTGAAAGCTCTGCATCCTGCATCATCTGATCAGTGTTTTCACCCCTTTGGGTGGAGATAGGAGAGAAACTGCAAAGTCCTGGTGCAGCAGCCTCGCTGACCCACCTTCTAGTTCCAGCACCCAGCCTGCATCGAGTGGGCCACCTCACCTTCTTGACATCTCTCTTAATAGTCTCAAGTGCATTTTTATGAATGAGCTAAATACTTGCATGTCCCTTTACCATAAAATGTTATTCAATTAATCTTCTGAATATGAGACACTAAGCAGAGGACACATGAACAGGTCTTTTCACAGCTGTAAGGTGAGCTGAGGTGAATCTCGAAGTAGGAATTTGGATAAAAACCCCTTTAAAAGGAAGATCAGTAACAGCTCTTTAGCATCCTATGCTGCAGTAACGGTGGCCCTCTAAAGAGCTATCCATTTTAGCCAGAATCCCAAGTCTAATTCAGAGTTTATTGGAACCGTTACATGTCTAAACTTTGAATCAGTTTGTTAAGTATTTTTTGTGTGTTTTTTTCCAAAGTGATTGTGGAAACTGTAACTTTCTTTTCAGCTGAGAGAATTCAATATGGGTTCAGCTTTTATTGATACAATAGATTTTCATATGCAGAAGTTTTTCTTCCCCTTTATAAAAGAAATACTCATATTTAAACCTCATGTTTAACTGACTACAGCCCTCTACATGGTATTTTTATCCTTAAGAGGAAAGCAGTGGAGGCATTCAGAGCGCCTGGGGGCCTGGCCCCTCCACCGAGCATCCACGCAGGGCAGCTGTGTGTGTGGAATCTTGTTAGAATGTGCCGCCTCCATTTATCTTTTAGGAATATTGTGCCATAATATAATTCTTTACTTTTTAAAATAATTAGTAGTGCCTACAGACCAGATAGATTAATAATGCCTTCCTAATCTATAATCAGGATGGAAACCAGATGAACTGTAACTTCATTCCTTTGGATATAAAATTAGACCTTTGGGAAGACTTACCAGCAAGCTTTCAGCTGAAACAGAATCGCTCCCTGGTAAGACTAGTCCTGTGCATTTGTTTTAAGTTAAAATCTGTTGAGTAATTTAAGACCATTTTCAGTTCAATAACAATAAAGTTACCTCGTGGCCTGGTGCAGAGTCAGATCACTGGTCGCATTTTCGTCAGTCCAGGGACTGCCTATGATTTACCTTGGTGCTGAGAATAAACGTGAGATCTGTTTCCTTGGTGAGTGATCACACCTAGATTGCTGTTTCTGTGGATAGAATTATCCTCACATCGTTTAATTTCTCCTTCACAGAATTAGCAACTGTTATATTTGTATCTTACAGAATCTCATTTTATCTCTGACGGTTAAGTTCTAACAATGGCCAGTTCTGAGAGCAGGGACGATGCCATACTGGGGGACTCTGGCATCCTCGGAAGCGTCGGCATACAGCCACAGACCAAGTACTTGCTCAGAGGCCTTAAGCCTGATCTGTGGCCGATTGACCTTCACTGCTGAGAAGGATCAACACAGGTGGGGCTGACAGCATGCAGCGTACCACTTTTTACAAGAGAATAGTGATTACGTTTCTGCCCTTTGAGTGGAAAGCAAACATTGCCCATGGGTCAGCCATACCCGTCTTAAAGGAAGAGGTAGCAGTGAGCTATTTTCTCTGGGATCATTGAATCCTGATTCTCAGATTCCCAGAAAATAGCCAGTTACATATAATTGACTAATAAGCAAGATTAATAGCAACCCTGGTAAAAATGTGCCAGATTTATTGCTGGCTGTTTGCCTATGAGAAGTCAGGCAGTCGGGTACAAAGCGATGCTCAGATGTGGCGCTGAAACCTGCCGCCACTGGAAGACCCGCTCTCCCCAAGACCACTTTTGCCTCTGCCACCGCTGGCTTTGTGCTTCTAACAGCTGGGCCTCTTTTGGTCTCGCTGAGCACATTGTTGCCATTGGTCCCTATGTGCATTAAGGACATATGCTGGATATCCTGAAATGTGTCTTTGGGTTGAAAGAGACCTCTGCAGAACTGGCCACAGTTATTTTACAATAAAGATATGAAGATGCATCAAACTGAAGAAAGCCTTAAATTGTGACATTCAGAAGCCTATTTGGGGATATAATAAAACAGCAGTTTTCTGATGTGATAAGGGGCTTACTTTCAAAGGAAGATGCCTGGTGAGCTGGTTAACTCTTTTCATTACCTCATTTTCTGCCAGATTTTGAGGTTTGTTCGAGAATGGAATAGTCTAACTGCCATGAAGCAAAAGATAATCAGGAAAAGCGGGCAGCTCTTCTGCAGCCCAATTCTCGCTTTGGAAGAAATCATAAAGCAACAAACCAAGCAAAATAGTACTAAAAGGTATGCATTGTCTTTCTTTTTTATTTTGTAGTTCATTATTTGTCATGGTTATTTCTACGGGGCGGGGAGACATTTTATGTAACCACTAATGAAATCCTGATGAGTTAAGAGAAAATTATACATAAAATAACAGCTTACTTTATAGCAACATAATTAGATATTTTGTGAATTTGATCAAATCTGCTGGAAAAGATCAGGTTTTCTGGGTCTTGGTCCCATGAGTCCCCACTCATCAGGAGAGAGGCCAGAGTGACAGGCGGGTGTGACCTGTGACCTGCCAAGCCTGGGACACAATTTACAACAGGAATACAGGTCCCTGTTAGAAGAGCTGCTGCCCTGCGCTCCTGGAGCGTGAATCTGGGTGCCATGCAGCAGGGGGGCTAGTTCTGCTGGACACACCAGCACCCCGAGGATGGCGGGGAACTAGTCTCGTGCCCACGGCCAGAAGCAAAATAAAAGGAAAGGTCAGGTGTGTCCTGTCTGTGTTTTACCTTAATCATTACAGGTTTCTTTCTGATCTCTGTACACTTACTTTCCTTTCTTGGCTTCATAATAATCTCTGCCCAGCCCAGGTATCCCCTGCGGGACTTTACTCCCCCTTCTCTGTAGACGCTTTCTTCAGCATGAAGTAGTGACATGCAGTCCGCTGTTCTGTTGCCTAGCTCCCGTGTGGGGAGAGATCACAAAGCACCAAACTGAACAGCCCCTGTCGCTCTTGCCGTCTCCATACACCAAGATTGTGTCCTCATCCTCAGTTTATGATCTCTAGACTTGTCCGTGCACACAGGTGAAAAACATCCGTCAATGATATGTGAGAGGGTGCAGTTGATCATATCGCTTGTATCCCTATACAGTGAAAAATCCCTTCAGCTGTTGCAAAATGTGGCATATGGTATATTCATATGTGAGAATAAGGAATGATACTTGTGATATATTATTAAGAGTAAAAATAAGTATAAAAAAAGGATGGAGAGGGCGCCTGGGTGGCTCAGTTGGTTAAGCGACTGCCTTTGGCTCAGGTCATGATCCTGGAGTCCCGGGATCGAGTCCCACATCGGGCTCCCTGCTCAGCAGGGAGTCTGCTTCTCCCTCTGACCCTCTTCCCTCTCGTGCTCTCTATCTCTCATTCTCTCTCTCTCTCAAATAAATAAATAAAATCTTAAAAAAAAAAAAAGGATGGCGATACCGATATATGTAATTGCTCTTATGACACAGAAAGTATCTAGAAGGGTACCCTAGGAACTCTTACCAGAGGTTTCTCTAAGACAGTAACTCTCAGCTGGGGGCAATTTTACCCCCCAGGGTGGCAATGTTAGGAGACATTTTAGTTTATTATGATTAGGGGAAACAACTGGGGAACATGTAGTGGCTAGAGGCCTGGGATACTGCTGAAAATCCTACAGTGAACAGGACTGCACTCCCAAGCAGTTATCTGTTTCAAAATGTCCATAGTGCCCCTGATGAGGACTCTTGCCCATATAATAGGGGAGTTGTGGAGATAGTAGGAACTTTATACTTTAGGCCTGGATCGCAAACTCCTATGACTAAAAGCAAAGCAGGAACCAGAAATGAACACATGAGATCAAGTGTAAAGCCAGAGAAGGTTGAGGTAGGGGGGAGAAGTATAGCAAATTGGAAAGTGCATAACCCATCTGAAGTCATTCAAATTCAGATTAAAAATAAAATACTCTATGAATCAATTAAAGCCCCTTGCCTAGTTGGATTTGTGCACAAGCTGCCAGTTTTGGACTCACCTAAACTCTTCTGTAGTGCTTAAATATTTCCCACGAATGTTGGTTACTTTATACAAAAAATACATTTAAAATACCTGTGTGTATTACTATGTATATGTACACACACATGCACACCACCCCTACACATACAGATACTCACGTGTAACAAAAAGCATGATGCCTATGCTGTTTCTCTCGATCCTTCTTCCAGTCCCCTACATTTTCTCATTGCCATCACCACCGTCTTAGTTGCAGTATTGGTCTTCTCTTTGCATGACCTTAATTTCCTTCTTAACTAAATTTATAGCCTACTCCAGCCATTTCTAGACTTGTCACATTGTTTCCTCCCCATCAGACATGGCTGACCACCTAAATAACCACCTGAGAAAGGTGGCCAATCAGGTGTAAAAGCAAAAGTCATGAAATCAATACAAACTAAAGTCAGACACACGGTGTTATCTATACAGTTTTATGGAGATGATACATGAAAGCTAAAACATGTATTAGGCAACAGAGTCAGCAATTGGGTTTGTGTTTTTCAGAGCTCCCTCTGGCAGCAGTTGGGAAATGAGATCAAAAGGGAGAACTTGAAGTAAGGAAACAGGCTGCATTGGCTGTCTCTGCTTTAACAAACCACCACAAACTTAGCAGCTCAAAGCAACAGAAATGTATTATCTCACAGTTCTGTACGTCAGAGGTCTGAGATGGCTCTACTGGTTTCTCTGCTCTGGATTTTCTAAGGCTGAATTCAAGGTGTCAGCTGGATGGACTCTCACTGAGAGTCTGGGAAGAGTCCATTTCCACGTTCAGTCAGGTTGTTGACAGAGTTCAGTTCCTCGTGATTGTAGGACTTAGGTTTTCTTGCTGGCTGTCAGGGTGGGGGTTGCCCTTAGCTTCTAGAGGCTTCTTTCTAGTTCTCGCACATGGGCTCCTATGTCTCAGGGCCAGCAATAGTGTGTCAAATCCTTCTCATGCTTGGAATTGCTCCCTTTCTTAAGGTCAGCTGATTAGTAACCCGAATTACATGTGCAAAGTCCCTTTACCCTAGATGAGTGATTGCCTGAATACCAGAGACAGGAGTCCTATGGAGAGATGGTTAAGATACTGCCTCCCACACAAGTTGAGACATTAGGAGCAATGGAAATGGAGGAAAGAGGATGAAGAGAGGTGTTAGGAGATCTGGAGACCTTGGTCACTGATCAGAGAGAGGAGGAGAGAGGGAAGGCTCTAGGGAAGTGGACTTAGCAGAGCCATGAAAATAAAACCTGTGTGCCTGCAGAGGGGTGTGCTTTGGGAAAGTGTGCCGGTTCTTGCTGGACAACCTCAGCACGTCCCAGTGACTTGGCATAACTCTCTCTCTGAAAGCAGGTGTGAGAGATCACGCTGTACAACAGCACTGATTGGAAGTCTGTATGAGGAGCAGGTGTACACTGGATGCCTTGCCCTCCCACTGTCCTACCAGTTTACTTTCTACTGAAACTGAACCAGAGAGGCACCAGCCTTGGAAACACCAAGCTTAGTGGAGATAAAGGGAGAGGCATTATATTGGAAACCAGCACTCCCCGGGCCCCTTTCTTCACTTCCAGGATACTAGAAGCCACATTTTACTTGCTAGCAGAAAATTAGAGAATTCCTCTCTGAAAAAAATGGAATGACCTTAGAATAAAGACACATAGACACTAATTATAAGCAATGGCTAGATCTCCACCAGTTCTTGGGACCCATCCAAACTCAGAGTTTGCAGTTAGCTTTTGAGTAGCTCCATCTTAAATGTGAATGGAAGCCAAGATCACCAGCTATTGTTTCAGTTGCTGAGTTCCCATTTGTTGAGGCCGGCCTGCTTCCCTTGGAGCCCTGTTATGTTTAGGATGCCAGCGATTTATTTATTTATTTTTTTTTTAATTTTTTTTTTTTTTAAATTTTGTTTATTTATTTGAGAGAGAGAGAATGAGAGATAGAGAGCACGAGAGGGAAGAGGGTCAGAGGGAGAAGCAGACTCCCCACTGAGCGGGGAGCCCGATGCGGGACTCGATCCCGGGACTCCAGGATCATGACCTGAGCCGAAGGCAGTCGCTTAACCAACTGAGCCACCCAGGCGCCCGATTTATTTTGACCCCCAAAGCAGGTCAGCATCCTAGAGCCCAGCACTGTTTTCCCTGTTGTGGGCCACTTTCCAACACACTCTTCTCTTTTTGCAAAATTTGCCATCTTCTACTGCCATGCCCATCCAGGAATTACTTTAGTAGACAATGTTCTCCCTTCCCTATTTTTGAAAATAGGGATTTACCATAATCCTTTTGAGAGGTGGTATACTTACATCAACTTCCCAGCAAACCTCAATGGAAAATTAAATGGTGGTAACACAACCATGTTTGAGAAGTTGCCAACCTCCCGCTTTGTGGGTTGATTGATCTGTTTCTTGTGGTTTCCAGAATTTTGTGCTTAAATCTCTTGTAGGAAAGGTTATTTTTAGTTCTTAAGTCTCTGAATAGATTTCTCAGCATCTTTTAAAGTTACTGAATTAGGTCTCTAAGCTTTTAAACATTGAATAATACCTGAGGCAAGGCTTAATATCCCCTTGCCCCTCAAAGCCAGGAAGTGTTTGAGTTCATTAGAATCCACTGAAATACTTTAGTGAAGTGCTTTTGTCAAGGGAATAAAATGGTTGAAGAATTGGGGGATGGAGGGACGTGGGAAATTTAGGAACCAAAAGGGCAAGTTAGAGAATTCTAAAAGAATTCACTGTGATTCTTTTTTCTTCCTTTGCTTTCAGAATAACACACCAGTAGAAATGCAAATATATGAAAAGACAATCACTCTTCATAGGAGAAATGCAGGTTTAAAGCTATAAGGAGATGTGTATCACCATTAGCAGAGATGTTTTTAACTGACATATCTTGTGCTAGTTTAAGTGTGAGGAAACAGGTCCTCTCCTGCATTGCTGGTGGACCCATGTATTGGTTGGTACAAACCCAAAGGAGAGAGCAATGTGTCAAAATCCGTCCAGATTTAAAGCACCCAAGACCTTTGACCCAGCAGTTCTGCTTCCGGAAAATGTATTCTACATATATTTAATGTGTAGAAATATGTGTAGGGATATTACAGCATTTTTTATGATAGCAGAGACTAGAACAACAACCTAAATGCCATTAATTGGAAACTGGTTAAACATATGATTTATTCAAATAATGGAATAACATGCCATCATTAAAAAATAGGGCAGCCTGTGTGTACTAATCTGGAAAGGTCTCTGAGATGTATGTGTAGGTAAAAAGAGCAAGGTGGAGATTAGTGTGTATATTGTGCTACCATTTGTTTTTAAAAATAAAAAGTATAATGAGGAGTGACTGCTAATGAGTACAGGTTTCTTTTTGCGGTGATGGAAATGTCCTGGAATTAGTGGTGATGTTTGGACATCCTTGTGAATGAACTAGAATGCACTGAAATGTAAACTTTAAAATGGTAAATTTTATGGTTTGTGAGTTATATGTCAATAAAAATACAGAGAAAATGAAAGGTATAACCTCTACACAGAAAAAAATTCTTTCTGAAAGTATGTATTAAGAACTGGTCATAGAGATAGCTCTGGAGGAGGGAATGGGAATGTATGGTAAACTTGCTCTTCACCATATACACCACTGCATGCCTTTTGAGTTTTGAAATACGTGCGTGTATCAGCTAGTCAAAAAATTAACAGTTTATAAAAAGAAGCAAATCTGTTAATTATTAAATCTACTTTAACAGAAAAGCAGATTTCTAAGATCTTACCTACAATTACACAATTCCATCGTGATTTAACTTTAATTTTATTGTCAAGATACCAAATTAAGAAGTACTTGGAAGTATGAAGAAATTCATGTTTAAACTAATTAAAAAGGAAAAAAATCTACAATAAGTGTAAACTACCAGAGAAAGTGGGCCATGCTAATTAGAAGGAATTAATTGGGTAATTGCATTTTACCTACTTAAAATCCCCCGTCACCTTTAATTGGAATAACTTTCCTCTTTACTTCCAGTCCCTAAACCATTGTGTGGTACCGATAGTGTTGTGTAATAAGGTTCTGAATCCCCATCAAGAGTAGCTTTATTTCAGTGGAAGGATTCCATAAACCCTGTATGGCTGAAAATAATGGAAACAGCCTTAAGATTATAGAAGATGTGATGGCACCTGGTTAACTAAAAAGAGAATCACTTTACCCAAGTACGCTGATACACTGTTATAACTGACCGAGGTGATTGGAGGAACCTTAAAGGAAAGGCCAAGAGGTAGGTAAACGTGCAGCGGGAGATTCTCTGTGCGGTGTGGCAAGCTGTCCGCGCCCGGCTGTTAGCTGTGCATGGATTTGGTGGTTTCTTACTCCTACACCCACTCCACTTGGCCCCTAAGTGAAAACTGGTCCAGAGGATACTGAAGGACTCTTGAATGTCTTAGAAAAATAAATCTTGAAAAAACCCCTTTGGAACAGAGATGTGCTTCCCACACGTGGAGTCCACTGTAAAGGTAGGAAATATTCCCTAATGTGAATAGGGAATTCGTGTTAGCACCATGAAGACTCCTGTCTTGCCTTTTCTCCTCTTGCTTTTACAAGGAGGAATGTGAGCATGAAGTAGTGAAACTCTTAGAGGAGAGACAGGAAATCTTCTTAACATGTAATTGTTTTAGATACATTACCAAAGAAGATGTTGCTGTAGCCTCACTGGACAAGGTGAAGAAGAATGGGGGCCATGTCCGTCTGATCACGAAGGAGTCTGGGCCACGGGAACCTTCTACACAGTAAGGTTTCATTTATGAGAAGGACATAGTAGTACTACGTGTACTCCTTTAAATTTCTGTATTCATATTTGTAATCATACTTGACCTTGATGTGGCCACTTATAAGTTAGAAAGAGCTTTCACAATATGGTAACTCCTCCATCCTCCTAGCAACCCTGTGAGGAATAGGAAGACCTCACCTTAGAAATGAGAAGGACCCTGAGACCAGGTGGACCAAGTGACCCACCCAAAGATACTAGATGTTCCCAGTCATGAGCTCTTTCTATCACAAGGAGCTTTTCTTTTAACACTTCTAACAAATAGCCATGGAAAATAGAAAATGGGCAAGCAGTTGTAGTAATTCCGTGTAGGACCTTTCAACATAATTGAGGAATGTACCTTTTCGTTTTATTTTAACAAATTGAGTGCATGTCCTGTCATGTTCATTTCTCATTTTAATTCAGTCAAATCTGAGTTTACCTGTAGGAGGCACTTAACTGTTCCAGCTCCTAAAAGCAGTATTAGCACCTTGGCTGTGTCACTCCGTGGGCGTGACTGTCTGCTGGTGGTCAGCAGGGGCTCCCAGAGGGTGTCATGGAAGCCTTAGTAAATGGCCTCTCTGTCCTGCTACGGTGTGTGGTCCAACACAGAGCACGGGAGCCCCAACTTCAGGTGGGGTTTCACATTAGTCTGTCCTTTCCCAGCCTGAAGAAGCATTTTCTAACTTCTCATTTGCCAATTTCTTCAGATGTGTCCAAGTCTGATTGTTTAACTTGAAGATATCTAAATTCCCAAGAGAGGCAGCATATTTGTATTCAAATTAATTTTTTAACACCCCATTCTGTGCTTTATTTGGCACGGAGCATCAAGTGCTGACTATAACTATTGTTTCCACACTGAATCACAGAATCTGTGGGTCCTGCATTTACTGTTTATCAGTATAGAAACTTTGAAAACCATTCATTATATGAAGTAGTGACTAGTGTTAAGTGTTCATTAGTTACTTATTGCATGTTTTGCTCAATTCTAGAAAGTTCCTTGATGATGGAGTGTGTGTCCCATTTCTAAATCCCTGCATAGCCCAAGCTGATCTCACTGGGAAGCCTTCTATATCCAAAGGCTATCTGCAAGCTGTGGATAATGAAGGAAACCCACTTTGCCTTCGCTGTCAGCAACCCACTTGCCAAACTAAGCAAGAGTGTAAAGTGAACGCTTGGGATTCACGGTTTTGCTCTCTGAAATGTCAGGAAGAGTTTTGGATTCGATCTAATAACAGTTACCTGCGAGCCAAAGTATTTGAAATTGAACATGGTGTGTGTCAGCTATGTAATCTGAATGCACAGGAACTCTTTTTACGTCTGAGAGATGCCCCCAAAAGTCAGAGGAAGAATCTTCTGGACATTACCTGGATCTCAAAGCTCCCATTGGAACAGGTAAATTATAATCATGTGGCAGACAGAAGGCCGCATTGTACTGAGTGATGAATATTGACTTACTTTTTTTAACTTTTTAATATGGCAGTTTTTCAAAATATACATACAGAAGTAGAATAATCAACCCATAGACCCATCGCCCAACTTGAACAGTTATCAACATTTTGCCTTCATTTTCATTTGTCCCTCACCTCAATCCTTTTTTCTCCTGGAATTATTTTAAAGCAAATTCCAGACATTTCATTTCATTTCCTTTTTTTTTAAAGATTTTATTTATTTACTTGACAGAGAGAGACAGCAAGAGAGGGAACACAAGCAGGGGAAGAGGGAGAAGCAGGCCTCCCGCTGAGCAGGGAGCCCGATGCGGGGCTCGATCCCAGGACCCTGGGATCATGACCTGAGCCGAAGGCAGATGCTCAACGACTGAGCCACCCAGGCACTCCCCCCCCCCGCCTTTTTTTTAAGTAATCTCTACATCCATTGTGGCGCTTGAACTCATGACCCTGAGATCAAGTCGCATGCTCTACCAACTAAGCCGCCAGGTGCCCCTCATTTCCTCTTGAAATACTCTCATTATGGGGGTGCCTTGGTGGCTTCTCCCTCTCCTGCTCCCCCTGCTTGTGCTCACTCACTCTGTCAAATAAATAAAAATATTTTAAAAAATACTTTCATTACGTACCTCTCACAGAGATTTCCTTCCACCCTCCTTTCTTTCTGTCTCTTTCTAAAATATAATCCTATGCCCCAGTACCCATTATTACACTCAACACAATTATGATTCCTTAATAAATCCAGGCTTAGTTTCCCAGATTGTCTCAAAAATGCCTTTTTGCAGTTGCTTTGTTCAAATTAGGATCACAATATGACCCACACACTGCATTTATTCATTTAACTCTTATGTTCCAGTTAATCTGTAATATCACCTCCTTCCTTTTTTACACCATTGATTGTTCAAGAAACTGGATCATTTGCCTGTAGGATTTCCTACAGTATGGATTTGTCTCCCTCTAGCCTCATGGTATTATTTGACATGTTTCCCTATCCCCCTGATTTCAGAATAATAGTTATAGATATAGTGGCTTAATTAGATTCTGATTAAATTATTTTGGGAAGAGAGCTTAACAGATGATACATCCCATCAAGAAGTACCTATGGTCTGATTGTTCCACTTTTCATGATGTTAGGATTGAATGACAAGAGGCAAACAGATAACCCCCACAAAACAGTTCATTACAATGTGAAGAAAATATCTGTTCATCCCATTGATTTTACAATGGGATTTTTTTATTTTATGGAATTTTAGCAGAGCAATTTACAGAAAAAATATTATTCTTAGAAAACAATCACCAGGATTCACTTTTATTTCACATTAGAAACGCAACTGGTTTCTAATGGGATCTAATTAGTTCTAAGTTTCAAACTAGAGCAAAATGTATAATTTTGTAGTGTGCTTAATTTAAAAAAAATCACTCCTGAGCCATTCTCTCCCCACTAAAATAATGGATAAATTCCTGCCAGTTGGTCAAATCAGACATTTTTATTTACCTAGTATCACCGAATTATTTCTGCAAAGATGAATTAGCATGACTTTGAGACCTAGGGAAATACACTGTTTCCTTCATGATAACCAGAGTTCCTGAAATATCCTTTTGTCTAACTGGTGAGGGACACACTGCACCCATCCCAGGGGTGTCAGCCAGATGGCAGTCAGTGTCTGCTGCCTCAGAGCCGAGTCTTCTAGAAGACACGCAATGAAAGGACTCAAGGGTATCATGAAAGCAGCCTGTCCAGGAACGCAGAAGTTATTACATAGTGTACTACTAAAACAAAAGTGCTCCAAGGCTAGGGAGCACCATACGGCTCATATTGGGGAGGATCAGTCAGAGAGGGAGTGATTGTTTTAAGAGTTAAATTTAGGATGCTGAACAGTGACCCCGGGTGATTGGCCAGGGAATTACTAGGAGGAATAAAGAAGCACATCTGGAGTAGAAAGTCCATCCGAGGAGAGACTGTTGAGAGCAAAAGAATTGGTTACAAAAGCAGACGAAATGGATTTTTTTCCCTCAGAACACGTCATGTGCTTGATGCACAAGACTGCCATTTGTAACTGCTTCTAACAATGCCGGCCTCAGCTGGACAGAGTTTACCGCTCCAGCTCGCTGCCTCTTGGGGCTCCTCTGGGGCTGGGGTCCCTCTGCCTCCACGTGTCTGACAGAGTGCTTTAGAACGATGACACAGGTTCCCCTGGCCAGCAGCATGCAGCCGATTTTAATTTCGTCCTTGTCCAAGACCAAGCTTCATGCTCATCTTTATCACATTGAAAAAACTGTAATGCTGAGCTGGTTTTACTGCCTCAGGCAAAATGTTAAAATACATCCCATTTTAAGGTAGGTCGTCACAGATAAAATGTAAAGTGTATATATGTGAGCTGGCCTAAATAGTGCTGCCTTACGTGGACAACTTTGTTTATTCCAGATACGCCAGTGATAGAGATGTTGTGGAAACTTCCTTCCAGTCCATGGAACTGAGGAGGCTCCCAAATGAATGGCATAAATGTTCCCGCTGACAGCTGTTAATATTAATCTTTCACTGTTTATAATAACAGATGAATTTAGGTCAATAACTAAAGATTATTTGACTCCGTAATATACAGAAGTTTTTTTCTAATCTGATCTTACTCTTTTCACAGTTTTCTTTTAGTGACTATCTAAACTAGCTCAAAGGTGCAGAAGCAAGTAATTTTCCCCAATGTGTCAGGAGTCTTGGTATTTTATACTTGCTTATAATTTTTTCAAAATGGGTTAGGTAAGGGAAAAAAAACTTTTTCAGAAACATATTTTATTGCTTTCAAATTGCTAACCTAGAGGCTTTTTCCTACTCACAATAAAAGCTATAAAAAGCCATCCTAATGTGTTTTTCGCTGTGATTTTGCTGTATAAACATGATTGCACAAGGCAAAACCAACAGTTCCCACAGTGTATGGTGAAAAGTGCTGATCTTATGCTCTTACTGCAGCTTAATGAAATGATAAGAAAGCCAGGAGAGGGGCATTTCTGGCAGGTGGACCACATCAAGCCCGTGTCCGGTGGAGGAGGACAGTGCTCTCTGGACAACCTGCAGACGCTGTGCACAGTGTGTCACAGAGAGGTGAGTGAGGCTCTACAGACCCAGGTGACTTCTTCTGGGACAGCAAACAGAAAATTGACAGGCGTGGGAGACTGAGTGGGTGAATCCGTATCCCTTGTCTGGGTTCCGAGATGCCTTTATTCCCTTCATCACCTGAGTTTCCTCTCGGGGCCGATGTAAGTTCTCAGTCCCAGACAGAAGAGAAGCTGCTGTCCTTTGCATTCATTCTAGGACAGGAGATTGTCACCACCACCTAGAAGAAAATGAATGTAACTTACACAGTGTTGAAGAGACCCATCAACCTAGAAGACTGCTGAACTGGAACAGTGACGTGTGTTTGCATTTGCAGCTAAGGCTGTCCTGACATGTCAGAGAACATTAATAAATTCCTTCTAGGACCAACTCCGTTCAACATGCAGACATTACACTCTTGGCCAAAGTGCAAAATCTGTTATCCTTGGCACGTTTTTGAGCAGTTACCTGTTGCTTAAAACAGGAGGGAAAAATATGACAACATTATTTACCAACTAGGATGAATTTTTAACAGGCCGTCTAGCAAAAGGATCTACTGATTAAAATTTTCTTAGAAAGAAGCATACGTTCAATATGCAACTTTGGATCTAACTTTTTTTCCAATTGTGGCAGGATTTAAGCATTTCCCCATGTTCCCATGATAAGCATTCATGTTTATCATCCCAAATGGCTACACATTATTGAGTCTATGTCTGTCATAGTTTATTTAGCCAGTCCCATACTGATGAACATTGAAGTGGTTTTCATTTCCTGTTTACATACTGTTCTTTCCATTTTGAAGTTGTTCCTTAAGATAGATCCTCAGATGTAAAAATCACGGAGTCAAGTGTTTGACTGTAGGAATTTATCTCCGAGGAGTTTTCCAAAGGACAGTGTTCTGCTCCTCTCCCCCCGGGGGACAAGAGTGCCCATTTAACTGAGCTCATCAGTGCTCATGTGCCAGGAGAAGGGCCTGCCACTCTTTTGTTTACCAAAGATACTGAGGTTTTTAAAAATGCTCATCAGTGGTATTTACACTTTCGAAAACTGTTCAGATCCTTTGCCAGTGTTCATATGGTATAAGTACTCTTAGCCTTATTTTAATATTTTAGGTTCCTCAGTTTCTTCACAAATATAATTCTTACATAAATGGGATCCTGTAATAGGGTTTTTTGTTTTCTTTTTAGTTTTAATCCTCTTTTCTCTCCCCACGCCTTCTACCTGGATAACTTCACACATACATGAACTTCAACTGGGAAAAAAAAGTCATCTGATTTCTCTGCTGTGAAAATTACTAGCACATTCAAGACCCATAAGAGAATTAAGATATAACAAAAAGAAAATCCACCCCTTCCGTAATCACTGTTTTAGATTCTCATGAGAAATTCTATTTGTGGAAATAGCAGAAGAATTCAGGTTTGATCTACCTCATTTTGTTTTTCTGCATTGGCTTGGGAGTGGCTTCTGAGCCCACAGATTAGGAAGCTGGTAGGCCTTACATGCACCACACTGTGAGAAATCACGAGACACCTCGTGTAGGCCCTCACTTAGATGAGGAGAATCAGGGCCTACTGTAGTCCCCGAATGAGGCATTCACAGTCTCACTGGGGAGTAAGTCATTCCCCAAAGCATCTGGTCCTAAGTGAACGCAGGACCTCAGGGCACTTACCAGAGCTACTGGGGGTCCTCTGCTTGTGACGTGGTGTCCCCTCTGAGGGCAAAGCACTGGGAAGTAGGCGTGGTGATAATGTAGATTTTTCCAGACTAAAGAAATACAAAAAGTTTTTGAGATTCTGAAACCAGTACTCTTTTCCTAACAGGTGTACATTTGTATATTTTTTAACTTTTAGAGAACTACCAGGCAAGCTAAGGAAAGAAGCCAGGGGAGAAGACAATGTCTAGCGTCAAAGCATGGATCAGACATCACAAGATTTTTGGTGAAGAAATGAAGTGTAAAAAGTTTTGATGGATGACAAATGGTTTACATGTGGAGGAACTGAAACCTTTTTTCTCATGTTTCTCAGATTAAGCGTGAACATTTTTAGAGCAAAAAAATCAAGAATTCAACTTGCCCTTTCACAGTATATGCTCTTAGTGTCTAATACCTTTTGAAAGTACTTAACACAAACTGAGATACAATACTAAATATTTCTGTGATCTTCTTGATTTCAGGCAGGCTCTCAATTATGTTTCAGTGAGGTTTTGTTAAGCTTTCATTTCCCCCTGCAGTACCTTAATCATGGTATTATGCATAGACTGTGTTTTAAAAATATACTCTCAATTACTTGGGAAATGCTTCTGGATTAGTATTGCTTCTGAACTGCTGTGTGGAGATGCAGAACACTGGAAAACTGCATGGGAAATTTCAGAGGCAAATCATTCAGGAATTCGGGATCAAGCATGACCTTCCTGGTTAGTATGCAAGAGAGACTCTTGTTCTCTGACTGCCTCCAAAATGGGCTTCGGGTACACATTTTGAGTGTTGCCCTATTTGTTTTATTTCTTAGCACATTGTCTTTATTGAAAAGATGCTTCTGAAAATAAGCTAATTGGAACTATGGTGTTGGTAGAAGATTTGGAGTTCTAGATAGCAAGTAATTGTTAAAACTATTTAAAAACTGAAAACATAAAATGTAAAATGTCACTAAACTTCATTTTTCAGTTAGTTGGTTAGTTTATGTTAATGCATAAAACTAGGTTCACTGTCCAAGCGCCCTTTGTCTCCTGGTTATCATTTTGTTTTTAAAATCCCAGTCTTATTAGAAGTGTATTCCTGGTACCCCTTTAAAAAGGAGTGAGGATGATAAAACACTTTATACTAAAGCATGATCAGATGGAGATATAGGTTTCAAAAATACAATGGTAATACTAACATGTCACTGACATTCAAAAATAAAAGCATGACAATGAAAACCAGGGTACAGTCCTGCAAAATGTCAAAAGTCATGAGAGGAAAGAGTTAGAACTACACAAAATACAGGTCCAAGCAAGAATTACATTCACGAAAGGCCTATTTGTAAACACTGTTTGGATGTAAATTTCATTTATTTGAGCACTTTACAATTTTCATTAGTAACTGATACTTTACAATGTAGAGGACTTGTTTTTAGAAAGACTATCCAATCATGAGTTATCCTTCCAGAGTTCTTAAGGTTTATAACTATTTTATTGCATGAGATCAAATAGTGTTTATTTTATAAATTAGGCCAGGCTTTCTTTTGCCTCCTTTCTGCTTTGCTCGTCAGGCTCTTTGCAGTTTTCTGCCTCATTGCCAGGGTAACCTAGTATTCCTCACGGCTGAGAGCTGAGAAATCAGCTGAGAGCTGAGAAACCGGCAGGCTGCTTTTCCTCCAGCCTAGGGTGCTTGCAAGTGAGACTTAGGTCTAAGTAGTTCAGGTGTCAGTGGCAGTTACCGCTTTAGATTAAACTAAGGTGGCAGTTCTAAGAATAAAGTTCTCAGATATAATAAAGAAATGATGGTTTGAGATTAAATGACCCATGTGCCCGATTTCAAAATCCCAAACCAAATAAAAATGCCATAAAAGCATCAAAAAAAATAAAATACTTAGGAATATTTAGCTAAAGAGGTGAAAGATATGTACACTGAAACTACCAGACTTTGATGAAAAAAAAAAAACTGAAAAAGATACAAACAAATGGAAAGATATTCCATATTCATGGATGGGAAAAATTTATATTCTAAGAAAGTCCATACTACCCAAAGAAATCTATAGATGCAGTATAATCCCTATCAATATTCCAGTGGCATCTTTCATAGAAATAGAGAAAAAAAAATTCTAAAATTTGCTTGGAACCACAAAACTCAAAATAGCAAAGCAATCTTGAGAGAGAAGAACAAAGCTGGAGGAATCAGGCTTCCGGGTTCAAACTGTATTACAAAGTTGTAGTAATCGAAACATTATGGTATAGCTAAAAACAAACCCATAGATCAATAGAAGAGCATAGAGAGCCCAATAAAACCATATATCTGCAACTGATTTTTTTTAAAAGATTATTTTAAGAGAGCACAAGGGGAAGGGAAGAGAGAGAGAATCCTCAAGCAGACTCCCCACTGAGCTCGAAGCCCAACACCAGGCTGGATCTCACAAACCTGAGCCAAAACCAAGAATCGGCCACTTAACCAACTGAGACACTCAGGTGTGCCCCCCCCTTTTTTAATTTATTTATTTTATTTTAGAGAGAGAGAGTCAACTGATTTTCAACAAACAAGCCAAGAATATATAACGGAAAAAGGATAGTCTCTTCAATAAATGGTCATAGGAAAACTAGACAGCCACATGCAAAAGAATGAAACTGGACCCCCTACTTTGTAGCATATACACAGATCAATTCAAAATTGAATAAAGTCTTGAATGTAAGACCTGAAACAATAAAACTCCTCAAAGAAAACAGGGAAGATTTAGGTCCGAGATGGCGGCTAGGAAGACCTTTAACTTACCTCTTTCCACAGACACACCAAATCTATACCTACATATAGAGCAGTTCCTCCTGAGGAAGAACTGAGGACTGATTGAACAGCTTCTGTACAACAGAGGATAGAGAGACCACATAGAGAAGAGCAAGAGAAACAGAGACAGGGTAACAACAGGAAACCCAACCCTGAGGTAAACTGCAGTGGGAAGGGACGGCACAGAGGGACCCATGCACAGATTCACCCATGCTGGGGTATGGAAAAAAGCATTTCAAAAGGCAACTACACTACCAGTGAACCAACCCTAGAACATTTAACAGTGAAGGAACCGCTGGAATTTTCTCCAGACTCAGAGGTGCTAGTGAGTACCATTGTTTACATTCATCCTTCACCTTGATGGCACAGATGGGCTCAAGGTCCCAGCACTCTAGCCAGCCTGCTGCATTAGCAAACACCAGGGCCCTAGCCCATACCAGCCTGACATCTCCCCAGGGCGGCCCCCACACGCATGCTTCCCCAACCTCCAGTTGTCCCACCAAGGTGAGCCCAACACAGTGCACACCTGGTCACTCCTTTAGTGTGCCCATTACAGCTGCAGCCAACTTACCAAGATAATACAGGCACAAAACACTCCAGGACACCCCAGGCCTCCAACTGTTTTAGCTCCAGCCAACTCACCAGGGCACCCCCTGTGTGAGGCCACACCTACTATAGCTGGAACCATCCCCCCAGGATTCTCCAAGCACAGAATGCCCTGGGACCACCCAACCCATGCTCACTTGAGTTCCAGCTATCCCACTAGGACACCCCTTTGTGGAGTGCCTGTCTATGCCTGCTTCATCTCCAGCCATCTTACCAGAGTGGCCGTAGACTGCCCAAGGAATTCTCAGGCCACACCCCTTACAGCTCTAACCAGCCAGCCAAAACCACGAGACATATAGTCTACACCAGGGATATTCCTATACAAGTCCAGCCATCCAGAATGGGAGAGGTAGCTGTTTTGCCTAAGTAAAAAGAAAGTAAAACAAAATGAAGACAGAGGAATATCCTCCAAACAAAAAAAATGAGACAAAAGTTGAGGAAAAAAACTAATTGGAATGGTGATCACCAATCTATGATAAGGAGTTAAAAGTAATGGTCTAAAAGATGCTTGTCAGACTTGAGAGAAGAGTGGATGAAAGATGGAAGTATCACAATTCCACATTTCAAGATATACTACAAAGCTCTAGTTATCAAAACAATATGGTACTGACACAGAAATAGACACATAAATCAACAGAACAGAGAGCCCAGAAATAAACCTACACATATATGGTCAATTAATCCACGACAAAGGAGGCAAGAATGTGCAATGAGGAAAAGGCAGTCTCTTTAATAAATGGTGCTGGGGAAACTGGACCACTTTCTTACACCATACACAAAAATAAACTCATAATGGATTAAAGTCCGAAATGAGAGATCTGAAACCATTAAAATCCTAGAAGAGAACACAGGCTGTTATTTCTTTGACATTAGCTATAGCAACATTTTTCTAGATCTGTCTCCTAAGGCACGAGAAACAAGCAAAAATAAACTAGTGGGACTACATCAAAATAAAAAAGCTTCTGCACAGCAAAGTAAATCATCAACAAAACTAAAAAGCAAACTATAGAATGGGACAATATTTGCAGATAACCTATCCTGTAGGGGTTAATATCCAAAATATATAAACAACTCCTATAACTCAACATCAAAAGAATGATAATCCAATAAAAAAATTACTTGATTACTTGAATAGACATTTTTCAAAAGAACATATACAGATGGCAAACAGACATATGAAAAGATGCTCATTACTAATCATCAGGGAAATGCAAATCAAATGGCTAATATAAAAAACACACAAAATAACAAGTGTTGACAAGGATGTGGAGAAAAAGGAACTTCATGCTTTGTTGGCAAGAAGGCAAATTGGTACATTCTCTAGGGAAAACTGTATGGAGGTTTTTTTGGAAAATTAAAAATGGAAATAATATATGATTCAGTGATTCCAGTGCTGGGTGTTTACCCAAAGAAAATGAAAACATGAATTTGAAAAGATATATGTACCCCTGTGTTTATTACATTATTTACAATAGCCAAGATATAGAAGCAGCCCAAGTAGCCATCACTATATGAATGGATAAAGAAGATAAATATAGGGGCACCTGGGTGGCTCAGTTGTTAAGCATCTGCCTTCAGCTCAGGTCATGATCCCAGGGTCCTGGGATCAAGCCCCACATTGGGCTCCCTGCTCGGCAGGGAGCCTGCTTCTCCCTCTGCCTCCTGCTCCCCTGGTTGTGCTTGCCCTCTCTCTCTGTCAAATAAATAAATCTTAAAAAAAAAAAAATACACACACACACACACACACACACAATGGAATATTACTCAGACATAAAAGAAGAATGAAACTTTACCATTCCTGACAATATGGATGGACATAGAAGATACTATGCTACATGAAATAAGTCAGAGAAAAAAGACAAATACCATATATTTTCACTTGTATGTGAAATCTAAAAAAACAAAAGCAGAAACAGACTCTTAAATACAAAAAACAAACCGATGGCTGCCTAAGGGGAAGAGAGAGGCAAAACAGGTGAGGGGGTTAAGAAGTACAAACTTCCACTTACAGTAAGTTACAGAGATGGAAAATACAGCACAGGGAATACTGTCAATAATAATGTAATAATTTAGTATAGTGAAAGATAGTGACTACACTTATTGTGAACACTGAATAACGTATTGAACTGATGAATCACTATGTTGTACAGTTCAAACTAATATAACATATGTCAACTATACTTCCAAAAAAGTAGAGAGTGAGCCCCTTGATGGCAGTCTTTTGGATTTGACATCAATAGCAACAAAAGCAAAAATAAACAGGTGGGACTATATTAAACTTAAAAGCTTCTATAAAGTAAGGAAACTATAAGCAAAATGAAAAGACAACCTCCAAAAAGGAAGAAAATATTTGCAAACATACTCAAGAGGTTAATATTCAAAATATATAAGGAACTCATATGACTCAATAGTAAAAAAACAACCCAATTTAAAAATGGGCAAAGGACCTGAATAGACATTTTTCTAAAGAATGCATAAAATGGCCAGTATCACTAATCATCAAGGAAATGCAAATCAAGACCACAATGAGATATCACCTTGCACTGGTCAGACTGACTACTATCAAGACAAGAGATAATAAATGCTGGTGAAGATATGGAGAAAAAGGAACCCTTAGGCACTACTGGTGGGGATGTAA